TGAGGCATTCCATACTGCAAAGGTAAGTGGAAGGCTGGAGGATTGGGAAACTTTTAAAGATTGAGAAGGTTACTAAAAAAAAATAAAATGCACACAGGTTAATTATGAAAGACGACTAGCACAAAATATAAAAGTAGATAGCAAAAGCTTCTACTAATCTATAAAAGGGAAGAGAGTAGCTAAAGTGGATGTTGGTCACTTGGAGGATGAGACTGGCAAGTTAATAATGGGAAACACAGTTGTTGGTTGGTTCGCCAAGCTGACTGGTTTTCATGCAAACGTTTCATCCCCCTTCTAGGTGACATCGTCAGTACTGTGCTGCCTCCGTTGAAGCACTGTCGTTCCGTCCTGCTCTGTCAGGGTTGGCAGTCTTGTTTCCGGTTTTGTGCCATAGTGGTATGCCGATGGGGTCTACTTTAAATGTGGTTGTAAACCAGGCCTCCAGGAATTCTCGTGCTTGTCTTTATCTTGCTTGTCCTAATACTGTAACTTTGCCCCAGTTAAACTGATGTCCTTCTACGTCAGAGTGTATTGAAACAAAGGAGAATTGGTCATACGTTTTGCTGCAAGTTGGTATTCATGTATCCTGGTGGCGAATTTCCTGCCTGTCTGTCCTATGTAGTATTTCTCGCAGTTGCTGCATGGTGTTTAATATATCACATTTATCCTGATCATTGTGGGTATGGGGTCTTTTGTCTTTGAGAGTAACTAGCGAAGTGTGGCTGTTGGTTTGTGTGCCATCCTTATTCCAAGATATCGTAGGAGTCTCATAGTCAATTCTGAAGCGTTTCTAACATAGCGTAGGGTGGCCAGTGTGTTGGGTATACCGTTTCTTCTTGGTGTTGTGTGTTTGCCTGGCATCAGCAGATGAAACTGTTAGGATAACCATTGTTTGCAAAGACTCCATATAAAAGTGTTCCTCTTAGCTTTTGCCCAGCTGCAGGGTGTTGCAGTGAGGTATCGCTCATTTAAACAGAGTCTTGACACAGCTCTGTTTGTGGATGCTGGGGCGGTTACGGTTGTTAGTCAGGATTTGGTCTCGGTGTGTAGTCTTTCTGTATACACTGGTAAGGAATTCACAGTTGTTTATTCGTTCCACCATTATGTCAAGAAATGGGAGTTGATTGTTGTTGTCTTTTTCCCTGGTGAACTTGATCCCAGTGAATATTCTGTTAATAAGGCGGTAGCAAGAACTGCAGGTGTTGGAGTCAGAGATAACACAGTGTGCAGCTGGAGGAACACAGCAGGCTAGGCAGCAGAGGAAAGTTGATGTTTCAGGTTGGAACCCTTCTTTAGAAAAAATGAAGAAGGGTCCCAAACCGAAACGTCAACTTTCCTGCTCCTCTGATGCTGCCTGGCCTGCTGTCTGCCGCCAGCTCCTTACTGTGTTGTTGCTGTTTATAAGGTGGTGCGTTTTTTCTAACTTTGCTTGTTTAATGATCACGAACGTATCATCCACGTACCTAACCCATAATTTAGGCTGGATCTGGGAAGGGCTGTGTTCCAGACTTTGCATAACAGCTTCTGCTATGAGCCCCGAGATGGGTAAGGGACCAAGAACTGTGCCAAGACTGTTTACACCAGCGATTACTCACTGCAACACCCCGCAGCTGAGCAAAAACAAAGAGAAACACCTATACAGAGTCTTTGCAAACAATGGTTATCCTAATAACTTTGTCCACTGATGCCTGGCGGACAAGCAACACCAAGATGACACTGTACACCTCAATACACTGGCCACCTTATCCTATATGAGAAACAC